AGGTGGAGATGCAAAATTCTCAGAAGAATATGCAAGCTTGGACCCAAGGGAGAGATATGAACTGAAGATACAACTGGCATCCATCAGTATATGGATCCCACTGGGAATCACAGGACTAGAGGATGTCCCATAGGAGTGAGTGTTTATGGAAAGGGGAGCCAAGGCCTGAGCTCTGGGGTATACAGGCTTCAGAAGCAATAAAACAGCAGAAAGAAACAACAGAACCCAAGGAACAGATAGTGAGATGTTAGGAAAATTAGGAAAGGTGCGATGCTGTGGAAGCCAGCTAGTAAGTAACTGCCACTGCCAATTGGAAAGGCCTGGCCAGCAGTAAGGGTTAGGCTTGGACCCGATCACACATTAACACTCCGGGAACAATGCAATGCAGATAGCAAACATACACGTTTATTACAGCAGTTCAGAAGAGTTATAAAACTGATGAAAGCAGTAGCAGAGTATTAATAAAATAATACAACGCGCCAGGCGCATGCTAGTTCTCCACATCAGGAACATTTGAACCACTCTCTTGCAAGCAGCCTGTGGAGTCCATTCCCCACTAGAGCTTTAGAACAGTGTCCTATTGATGAGACTATGCCAAAAGTGCTTTTCTTCCCACCATCCTGTTAAGAGCTGCTCGGCTAAAAAAGCCTTTGGTCAACCTCTGGATTTCAGACAAGTAGCTGCTTCTTTTGAGAGCAGAAGCAATGATGCTCTTGTACAACGAAATCACCCTTATATGATTTTTTTTCCCTTCTGGAACAGACTGGCCTCTGTGCTGTTCTTCGAAGAAAGTATCTGGAGCCACTCCCTCCCCCTTACATTCTCAACTGGAAAAAAAATAGCCCATGAGCTGTCCCTTTCATACTGCGGGCCTGTGGTGTGGTAAGTCTGTTTCAGATTAATTCAATTAAACACCTCCGGCTGCATCTGTTAGACACCCTTTTTTATGGGCCAGATTTATTTTAATAGGATCAACATATGTTATATACAAAGGTAACCATTAAATAATTATAAACAAATAATTGCATCACACTCCAAGCCAGTTTTGCATCTCCTGCCAGATACAAAACATTTACTTTAATAAATTTAGAGTGAGCAATTTGCATAAAACCGTTGAAAGTGGGGATATTTTCAAAGCAGCTGCTTATGTGATGTGATTAAGCGAAATCTTCCCATCCCCCATTCCCACCCACACAAGCCATTAGTCATTCCTTTGAATTAATACATTGAAGGCCTCTGTTAAAATTAAAATATTATCTCCTAATAGAGAGACAAATGAAGCTATTAACATTTAGCTTGAGTTAGTTGATTGAATTCCTTAATCACTTAGCAAGGTCCTTTGTGAAAGGGACCCAGCAGCTGTTAAGTTTTGAGGAGGGAAAGGAAAGGTCCAGAACATTCCCTTGGGAGGAAAGACAGGGTTAGGGAGTTCTGTACAGAGCTCCGGGAAGTTGGGGGCACTTTCTGAAGCACTGGAATCTCAGGTGCCGGGGAGATGGCTAAAATACAAAGGATAGGATCATTTCTAAAGGGTGAGAAAAGCCATTAAAAGCAAATCTCCTTTGCTGTCGGTTCTGCCAAGAGTGGGCTAGCTTTGTGCAGGTAGACCCCTAATGTAAGTGGCCATTTCTTTACATTTTAGAAAAGTCTCCATTGCTCTGTGGGGATCTTACCAAGAGAGACTGAAGAACAATTCACAAGGCTCAACAGATTTCTCTCTTCAATTTGTGACTCAACAATTTTTTTGGTAGATATACTTTTTTAGTTTTGTTTTAAGCGATCAAAGAACATTCTCTTTTTGGGGGGATATTAGAGACAGCGTTTCTTTGTAATTGTTCTGGTTTCCTGGAACTCACTCTGTAGAACAAGTTGGCCTTAAATTCACAGAGAGCTGCCTTCCTCAGCCTCCTGAGTGCTGGGATTAAAGGTGTGTGCCACCATGCTCGGCTCAAAACAGATTCTTAATGCAGAGTATCCAGTTATCAAAAGATCTCCAGAAATGCTAGCGTTAGTTCTAGGGTCACATTGTATACAAGGCATTACTCGGCTCGTCTACACATGTGCGGACACACACGTTTTGTTTACACAAATGTGATGGTCTATACTTGTTCAGTATACTTCCTCTTTATTTTCACTTTTTCACTTGTTTTCTGTGGTACAATATACATCACATGCAATTTTTCCTCTTTACTTTTTAGTGTACAATTAGTTGCATTAAGTACTTTCATGAAACAAATTATTTCTAGGAAAATTTCCAAACTCCCAGACAGAAAGCATGTATGCTTTAACCAACTCCTCATTCCCTCCTGCCCCCAACCCTTGGTAACTTTCATTCTGCTTTCTATCTCTATGATCTTCACTCTTTTCAATTGTTTCTAAAACGTCAATTAAAAAGCTAGAGAAAGACGAAATAGCACATACAATACTGGATGCTTCCCTGTCATGGTTTGGGTCTGAAACATCCCACACAAAGCTTATGCATTGACGGCTTTGTCCCCATTGGACCAATCTAAGTTCAGAGGCGGGCCTTTGGGAATTAACTGGATCATGGTGGCTTTACCCTCTCCCCCCATGGATGGATTTGTCCATTGATGCATGTGTGGTTTAAAGGACTATTGGGAGATGGCAGAAACTAGGATATGGGACCTGGTTCTAGGAAGTAGGCCCTTGAGTGTGTGCCCTTGAATGGGACGCTGGGACTCTGAACTCCTCTTCCTACCCTCCTTTTCCTCCCTCTCTCTCCTTGTTCCTTCCTAATTAACTTCATCCTATAGTCGCTACCATAATGTTCTGCTTCTCTGTAGGCTCCCAAACAGTAGGGCCGGTGACTAGGGACCGAAAATTCTGAAATCATAATCCAAAACAAAGCTTTCCTCCTAAATTGTTTCTCAGATTTTCATCACAGTGACCGAAAGCTGACTGACACTTTTTCCCCTCCTCTGGCTGACCTTTAGGTAAGCAATACAATCAGTTTCTGGGGTATCTCTACAGAGAACACATACACGTATACAAAATGCCTCCTTCCTTTTCTTGCTACTAGTAGTATAGCACACCCAGTTTTGGACTTACCTTTTTTTCACCAACAGCCTAGGCCTCTCAGCAGGCAGACTGACTCCAGACAAATGTATATAGAGATGTACACACACCAAATATGCATATATATTTTAACATTTATGTGGTGTATTTGCCCACCCTGTTACGCCAGAATCAGCAGATTTCTGACTCATTAACTTAAAAAAAAATCAACTGTTTCCTTGTGTCAAAAGTCCCATGGCATGGAATGTACCCATCTGACCATTTTGCAGGATACAGTAATACTATCAACTTTACACAACAAATCTTTAGGACTGCCCCCATCACTTTCTTTTGCATTTTTTCTGATGGATAGTCATGTTGACCATCTTATTATCTGCTATTCTTTCCCTTTTTGAGAAATACCCATCCCACTTATCCTTCGCCCATTTTAAAACACAGGACTTCTTTATATGCTCGAGATAATAAGTCCTTATTATATACGGGCTTCAAATATTTTCTCCCCTTCCCACCTGTGTTGATTGTATATTCTGCTGTGTAGGCGTTGGGTGCTACGCAGTCTCATTTGTCATTTGCTTTTGTTGTCTGTGCTTTGGGTATGACACATTGGCTTTTACATCTCCCAGTGCTGTACTTCCCTTAAGGTGGCGTGGTTGGGTTTTTCCTTTCATTTCCACCCCAGAGTTCTCTAGCACACTGTGTAACAGCGCTGTTGGCTGACTGCTATTGGTTCCCTGAGGGGACACACCCAGCTACCTTCATTTTTTTTTCTGGATTTGTTCCCAAGCACAGTAATAGAAGGCTCTTATGAGAAGGGCTGTTTTCTGATTGCTTTCCCCGTCTCTCTTTTTGAGTGGAGCTCAAAACACTATCTCCTGGAGGTGCTTCCTTCTTTCCACCACCTGAAGTGGGGCAGTGGTCTTTGAGCCAATGGTAGGTCAATAGGCAGGCTGACTCCAGACCAATGGGAGGCTCCTGGGTTCCAAATGGAGCAATCATTGTACTAGGGACGTTGAATTCCCAGATGGCTAGCATCTACCTCATTGACCTCTTGCTAATGACTGACTGTCTTGTCTTGTTGGCCAAGGATCTGAAGGTGCAAAAGAAACCTTGCCCCCCCATACACTTTTAGTAGCTTTAATCCACTCGAACAACTTGTGCCCAAGGCCAATAGAACATAGCCATTCTCCCTTTGTAAAAAAGAAAAAGGGGTTGGGTTTCCTTCAATTGTCTGCCCCTCTCTGTCTCCTCCACTATTTTTGCTTTACTCTCTAGTTAACTTTGCATGGAGCAGCTTCACCAGTAGGACCTGTGCGGAAGATTCAGGCAGACTCTTCTCATTGGCGGCGCATAGGCCTTTTCCTTGCTCTAATCAGGGGGTTTGTGGAGGTAGTGGGTGGTGGGTGGAAGAAGAGTTTGGCCATAATCTTCCCTCTGCACTTCACACACACTACCCTCTTGCGGACTCTCTCCCAACCCCCCCCCCCTCCTCTCTCTCTCTCTCTCTCTCTCTCTCTCTCTCTCTCTCACACACACACACACACACACACACACACACACACACACACACCACACACACACACACACACACACACACACACACACACACACACACACACACACACACGCCTGCTCAGGCCCCTTTTCTCTGTGTCTTCCATCAAGATGACAGGGCGCTGGAGAAAAGGCTGCTGGAATCAGCTGGTAGGTACAGTAGTAATCTGAACCCCACCCACCCTCTGCCTTTGCTTGCTCAGGTTTCTCCGGTCACTCCTGCCAGGGGAGAAAACATGTAAGCGCGCCTCCAGAGGAGGGGCTCGGGGAGCTGGGAGTGGCGGGGGCGGCGGAAGGTGAGCCTAGGAAGGTGGCCCAGCGCCCCTTTTGCACGGCCCCTCCCAGTGCTCCCCTGGGGTGTCAGCTTCGGCTCCACTTGCCCCCACTCCACCCTCCTTTCGAAGGGATTGCCTTTTTTTTCCTCTGCGGCGGCGGAAATGACAGTGTGGTGCTGCGGTGGTGTCATGGTGCTGCCTCTGGACTGAGAGGCGAAAACTCTTAAGTTTCGCCCGGGAGACCCAGACGCGGGAACGTCGCGATCTCCGTGCCGTCCCCTGTGGGGCGCGCGGGCTGGCGGATCCCGGCTGCTGCGCGGCGGCAGCGGCGGCGGCCGCAGCGGCGAAGGCGGGCGGCGGCCTAGAGTGTTGGTGGCGGCGGCGGCAGCGACAGCGGCCCGGGAGCTCGCGCGGGAGCCCCAGCCAGCTTGCTGAGGAGGCCGGCGAGCGCCCGGCGCTCCCAGGAGCACAGAGGAGATGGCTGGCACCCGGGAACAATATGGGTAAAACGTGTCCCCTCGCCGCGGTCCGGGGGGAGGGGGGGGTCGAGTGTCGCCACCCGCGCAGGGCTCGGGCCCCCGGGCTCCGGCTGCTCTTCAGGTGCCGCCGGGGCCGGCGCTGGGAGGACACCAGGGATCGGCGGGAAGGGGGGGTTGGTTGGGGAGTGGGGGGGAGACGGGCAGACGGGATCCGCGAGGCTCCCGGCGGCAGTAGCGGGGGGCCCGGGGTGTGTGTCACACTGTGGTGACCCGGGTTCCTGCCACTGCCTTCGTGGGAAGGAGTTTGCACTCCTAGATCCCAGGCGGGGGAACGGCCCGGGGCCTCCCGCTTGGCCAGGCCGAGCCTGGAGAAAGCAGTGGAGCGGCTCTCCTGGCGCCCAGGCACAAGTCTGGGAAAGGGCGCAGCCGCCTTCCCACGCTCCCGCAACCCACGGAGTCCTCGCCCCGGGCGGCGCCCTTAGGTCGGCGGTTTGCTCAGCGGTGCTGGCGCAGCAGCCTGGGATGCTGCTTGCGGACACCCAGCCGGCGGCAGCCCGGGAGAAACTTAATCCCCTTTTCGCTGGGGGAAGCAATCTTCAAGTCTCTGTCTGGGTGGTTCCTTCTTTTTGGCCTAGCTGTGAAAGCAGCGCCGTGGGGGAGAGGGAAAACTTGAGTGTGTCCACAGGACACGCTGCTGCTGAAGCAGGGACATGAGAGGCTTTTCCATTTCGGGCTCGGAAGAATTATGTAGCTAGCGACAGAGCAGATTTACTCTAACATTTCTGGTGATGAGCTGGCTTAGGTTATTTTGCACTTCACGTGCCGCACGTTATTTATTTATTTTGGAGGCATTTCTATTTCGAGCAAGAAATTAGGGTCCTGAGACGCTCGGACTCCTCACTTTTCACACTCTTCCGCACTCTTCGGCAATGTCACTGTTATGCCTCTTCTTTCTGTCACCCTCACAACATTTGCCTTCCAGCTCTCTCACCAGAGTCCCTGCACTCTCAGCTTTTCGCTAGCAACCTGTGCACATCCAGCAACACAGCTTCTTGCTTTTGAATCACTTTGCTTTCTTGAATATTTCGGAGGGTGGGGCTGGTGAATGGCAGTTGTGTGTCTCCGAGAGGGAGTATTTATGAAGGAAAACACTGGGGACTATAATAATAGACAACTGTTGTGTATGGATTAATTAATCTGATTCTCAAATTGGACCACAAGGGCTGACTTAATCCCATTCTACTTCCTCTCCGAAATCGAATCAGTTCTCTGACAATATTAAAATAGGAGATGGGGCTGCCAAATTTGAGAGTTCATATTCCTCACTTCTGCTTATGAAGCTTTTGCTATATCTGGATTATCCCCCCGCCCCCAACACACACCTTTTTATCTCCTCCCCAGTCATCACTGCCCTGAGGGAAAATCAGTCTTTGCTATTTTCGTATATTCCTGCTCAATCGATTAACTTAATACAGATTCATAATGTGAATTAAATTTCTCTTGATTGTTCCTTACAAAACTTGATTCATGTGGTTGAAGCACAAGTCTTGGAGCCAAGAAGATGAGAGAGCACATTGCAAATGTGGTGCTGCACTGGCTTTCCGGCCTTTGGACATTTGTGTGCCCCTTCTTTCACAGTCACTGCACCTGCATAAAAGGCCTAATATTATGTACTGGGTATTTTGAGCATTGGCTTGGCCCTTTGAAGATAAAAGGATTCTATAAACCTCAGCATTATACTTTTCAATGAAAGCACTTCATTTATCCTTTATTGGGCTACTGGGTTGACTGGGTATAAATGGGAACACCAATTTACAGAAACCTTAATTTGCCATTATTAGTCCCCTTGGGATTCAAATTATCATTGTAGTTTGGGCCTTAAGTCAATTTGTTTCACCAAATGTGTGTGTAACTGGATGGAAACAGACAATTAGGCATAGAAAGTAATGGTGATGATTTTCAGTCGAGTCATAAATCATATTGGCTGCACTCTAACCTAACAATCTGAGTCAGGCTCATTTGAATACACAGCCTCACCCATTTTTAGCCAACATGGGGGGTAGTTAGTTAATGCCCAATAAAAAGTGGCACAGATAGTTTTAGGTCTGGCTGTACAAACATGATTAGCACCTTGCAGCAATGAGTCAATATTTTTAAAAAGCACCTTTACTGCACGGAGGCCTCTGCTGGCTGTGTTGAAGCCCCAGACTTGACCCAGTAGTTTGGGCTTATTTTTGTCCTATGCTTAACTCTTCTTCCGGCTCCATGGCTAGGACCGGGTGGAGGAAAGTGGTGTGGAGAGTAGGAAGAGGTTATGGGCCATGGAGGGCTCTCGCTTCTATTTCCTTTCCTGGCTACTAGGATTCCTACCTAGCATGTTGTACCTTGCAAGACCACTTCTGGGAGGCACTGTTGCAAATAGGAGTGACATGGTTGCTTCACAAACAGATCATCTGAACAGTGCAAATTGACTTAGATAAAATTGGTTTGGTTAATCCTTCCTCTAAGAACAAGGCAACTTGCTCCAACTTGTAGATCTTAAAATAGTGTCGGTGGAGTCTCATAATTGCGTCCAACTAGTGTTCTGAGTAGTGAACCTTTCCATTCCCTCCTCCCCTAAAATGTGCTGACACCACAAAAATTGAGAAGGAAACTCCAGAAGATTGGTGTGTGTGTGTGTGTGTGTGTGTGTGTGTGTGTGTGTGTGTGTGTGTTTTATCAATTAGCAAACATCGTTGGCTTGGTGAAGAGGAAAGAATACTGGTTTGGTTGTTAGATTCCTTGGAACTGAAATCTCTCTTTCTAAACAGGAAGGTAGAACCCTGAAAGGCAAAGACAGGGATGAGACACAAAATTATATCTCAGATGGCTGTTTTTAGAGATAGCTGTCTTTGTGTGTTCATCATTCAATCTTTATAGATCTTGCTAAATTTCTAGATGTTAGCCATGAGACTCAGCTGCTAGAAGAGGCTTGAGGGTGCTCCAACTCCATTTAATGTTGAGCTTTCATTCAGCCTTTTGTACAAAAGAAAGCTTTGCGTCCATGAAGTGCCTTCTTAAGCCGAATGTCCTGATTTGAAGCAGAGTATCATCAAAAATATGAGGTGTAACATGTCCTAATGGATATAATATAGTTCAAGAGGTTTGAAAGATAGCCCCTTAAATTGTGACATTTATTTATTTGTGCGCATGTGTGTGCATATGAACATGCATGTGTGCCATAGCATCCGTGTGGATGTTAGAGGAAAACTTGTGGAAATAAGCTCCTACTTTCCACCACATGGGTTCTGCAGATCAAACTCAGGTCGTCAGTCTCGGTGGCCAGCAATCTTACTTTCTGAGCCATCTCACTCGTCCTAAATATGGTCACTTTTTGAAATTTTGGGACAAAGTCCGCATTGTGCTAAGTGTCTCTATTTCTGGATCCTTAACAAATACTGCGTTCATCACTGAGTAGTACACAGAGGAGGGTAGAAAAGCGCTTCTCTGTGTGTTGAGTCATAGCGTCAAATGAGAAGTTCAGATGAGTGGAGGCGGGAGAAGAAAATCCTCCTTTATTACTACCCTGTGTAGACTGCTAGTCCCTCTTACCCTCTCTCCTCTCCTTTAAGGGTTAGTATATGCGTCTCTATCCATTTTCAATTACTAAAACTCTGCCGAAAGTTGTCTGTGGGCTGAAGAGGTTCCTGTTCTGCGGCTTTTTCTGTCTGCTGCTTTTTTCATCTTTTTATTCTTCATGACCGTAATCACATAACATTTTTGGCAGTCAAACTTTCAGGTTCTGTATTTCCCCCTAGAAAGCCTATAAAGTGATGATGCTACGAGATGACATAAAATGCTTCAAGTAAACATGGCTGAGGGGTTCTGAGAAAAAAGGTGACAACATCCCACCATCACTTGCTCCATGTGAGGTTTGCCCAAATAGAATATGCACTATGATGTTGGTTTAGCATAAATGGGTTAGAAAAGTGTGGGTTCTTGTCCCTCTACAGCACTCTGGTTGCCTGACCTTGGACTTTGTCTCAACCTCTTTCTGCAGGTCAGAGTTCTCTAGTTGATGATGAATAGTATCTTCTGACTCTGGATCATCCTCTTACAGAGACCAGATGATCCGATAACAAACACATTATATAATGAAAACTCTTCCTGAAATCTAAAATCCCAATATTTGCAATTTGCTCTGATAAGAACATAATGTGTAGGCGTGGAAGACAATGTTAATTTAGGAAAGCAAAATGTGTAGTATATGTGTGTGTGTGTGTACTTGTGCGTGCGTGTGTGTGTGTGTGTGTGTGTGTGTGCGTGTGTGTACAGTCCAGAGATAGAAAAATGGTTTCTAGTCCAGAATTCTCTATCACTTTGTCTATGGCCTTTTGTTCAGTGTTGCTAGGATCCATGTGGTTCCCCAGAGAGTAGAAGCTTGATTTAAAATAGGCCTCTGTTTTCTGTCCCTTGTTACTGATCAGAACTTGGAGTCATCGAAGCCTAACATTCAATAGAATGCCCTACATACATACATTACAAGTTTTATTATGTAAAAATAACTGTCCATCCTGGTAGACCACTAAATACTTTAAAAATCACTGAGTATTTAAAATATATCATTGAAAAAGAGAGGATTGGAAACTCAGCCTTAAGATGGATAAAAATCTGTACTGGTAGCATAGGTAAAGATGTTTGTTATTCATTTGTTCCCCAACCTTATAACTTTGCCAGTGTAATCTATATTAAGATAATGGTGTTATGAATCATACTTATAATTCTTGTTAAACATAGGTTACCTCAGCAAATCCATTTTTGGTTACTTCAATTAATCATTTTTAAAATAATATTTTTATTCTTTGAAATTTTTATATTTATACAATATATTTTGATCATACTTGGATTAATCTTTTGTACTTGCAGCAGACTTAGGATTTTTGGTTTTTCTAGTTTTGCTATTCGTTTTAATGATGACTACATTAGACAAAATATACAAAGTGTTAGATTTAGGAGCTAATTATTGGAAGGCAGTAGCATTAAAT